TTAAATCCTGCGTTATTACTATTACAGTAAGTAAAAAACTCCGAATGTTTATTGCCGTGTAACATCAAATTTTCCAGGCAAATTTGCCTGGAATACAATTCAGAACGATTTTTAAATACTACGAATTCGATTTTTTAAAAAAAAAACCAATAATACGAAGTTAGTTCAAATATCTTATTTAAAGTGAATTTTCCAGGCAAATTTGCCTGGAAATGATCTACAGATTAAGGGATAAGGGGATTTTTTTTTAATTTCTAGACCTAATATCCTTAGTCTTGCTTCGATAAAGATTCTGATTTTCAGCAGAACTTTTGATAAGACTTTCTATTTTTGGTAAAACTTTGGCCATCGGTACGCCTTTGACTTTACGATGAAATTTCAAAGCATCTCGGTTCCCAAAGAACGTAATATGTAAAAGTATAATAAGCCTAGGTACTGTATCTGTGCAAAAAAAAAAACGATTTACATATCGTCCTTGATAATACCTTAAAAAAGTGCTTCTAAATCGCTATTGAATTCTTTTTAGATCCTATCAGGAACTTTCTGTTGTCCTTTAAGGATCAATACCGCCGATTCACATATTAATCAAAATTTTTAATGTTGACCATCAAACTACGATTCATATTAATTTATGTTCTTACTCGAGTCTCAATAACCAAATTTATAGATTTTATCTCCAAATGCTCTATTCTGTTAATTTAACGAGTTTAAAGGTAATTAACTGGAAGTGTGCTAAACTATTCAGATCAATGTTCAGGAGTTAATTAACTATAATATTCCTATAATACAGTATGATTATTATTTAATATCTCTTGATTTAATTTACCCTCTTGATTTGAATTCAATACAGGAAAAGTATTAGTAGATTCATTTCCTGGGATCATCAAAATTTGAACTCGAATACTAACGCTGACCTAGCTTCAGACCCAACATATATACCGGTATATTTATTTTTTTTTAAGTACAAATTTTTTTAAAAATACAAGTTTTTATAATTTTTATAAGTTCTAGTAAAATACACTCAGATAATTAACTATAATGAATTTATAATGAATATAAAAGAAGCTATTAAGAGAATAATAGCAATCTAATCCTTATTTAAAATAACCGAATAATTTTTATTAATAAAATTCATTCATAGTACGTTCATTAATATAATTCACGATACCCGCAAATTTATTACACAATATAATTTAACATACTTATTTAATACGATATAAGATTGATCAACCCATTAAATATGTAACTTAATTGTTTAACAAATTTTACAGTAGTAAAAAAAAAGGCTAATTCTAATTATCAGTAATAATTATGTAAAATATATAACAAAGTTCAGTAAATTTAAACTCTTATGTATAAACCTATACAATTTTAATTTTGTTCGATAATGATAAATAAAATTTTATCATTATTAAACTAAATTATACTAATCAATAATTATATATATTGGTAATCATAATAGATACACGATCACCTACCAAACAATCCAACTATATAGTTTAATTTATTAAGTCATTCTATACTATAATAAATAAATAACACGCTCACTAATATATTAAAAGATTCTGGGTATCTTTAAAATCTAATAAATATTCTTTGCAGTTGCAGTGAAATTTAGTTGTAATATGTAGTTTGAAGATATATGAATAATTAAAATGTAATGGTGCGTTAAACTCTAATAAAAGTATGCTAATTATGTGTTTTACAGCATGGCACACAATTTGCTTTGTTCTATTGAATTGTGCAGGTAGGTAGTCGGTACCTCATCAAATATTTGTTATGTATTTTTTTTACAACATAATGATAAGGTGTCTATATACAAAAGCTTAACTTTCTAATCAAAATAAAATCATAACAGCTAAAATTCAATTTCAGCGAATCCTTACTTCAGGAAATTCAATCAATGTGAATATCGTGAACATCCTGACGGACATATATTCTTACAATAATTTCTAACGGAAAAGAAATATTAAATCTTCTACTGTTAATCTTCCAACTTTAATACTCCCTTCTCCTAAGGCACCTGCAGCTAACTCACGCTAAATATACACATGTGAATTTATACAAAATTTCAATTATTTCTTCGATTTTCATCAAAATTTCAATCATCTCTTTAATTTTATTTGCAGAAAATACCTTTTTATCCTGAAGAATTAATATACGATCTTCAATAGTATCCTTTATAGTTAACCGTTTTATAATAACCTGCTTGCATTGACCAATGCGATGAACACGATCGATTGCCTGATCTGTAACAAAAATACACACAATGTAAAATTAAAAAAAAAGAACCGAAGATAAATAATAATAATTATTATTATTTAACGAACCTTCAACGGCTGCATCACGAATAAACATCACAAATAAGACAAAATATAAATTAATGATTTAGCTAAACAAATTAACTACTCATTTTATCTGGTAATAACTTACCAGGATTCCACCAACAATCAAGCATAATAACCTAAATTCGAAAATATGGTAAAATTTGATTTTTTTTTTTTTTTTTAAAAAAAAAATATATATACACGTCAAACAGAACATTAATTACCCTATTTGCTTTGGTGAGATTTAAACCAACGCCACCTAAAAAAAAAAAAGGTTAATAAGTACAAATGTTCGTAATGTGTACAAAACATATTAATTAAGGATAATATCATTATTACCAGCTTTCAAAGAAACAAGCATAATTGTAACTTCAGTATCCTGTATCAATTTTCTTAAAGCATTATCACGTTCTTTTACATCCATAGTACCGTCGTACTTTTTTAAGAACAAAACATGATGAATAAACGAGAATAAAATTGTAAAATTTAAATCATTGCAGAGTTATGTACTAAGAGTTACCCTGCAAAATTTGTATCCGACTTCTTTAATAGGCTTTTCAACTAAATCCAGCATTGAAGTCCATTGCGAGAAAACAATAGTTTTACAACCGGGTTCTTCTTCTTGTGCGGTAGCTAATTCCTTCATTAATTGATCTATTTTAGTGGAAGACATGAATGAACCTTCAGGTGCATTGGCAAATGTGTTGTTGGTCGCAAAATTATTCTTTTTTTCAGAAGCTTCCTTTTCAGAAGATGGTAAAACATCATCAGCATCGGATCCACTAAAGGAGCTTGATATGGCCTTTAAAGATTCGGCAAGAGTAGGAAGATCAGGATCATCATCATCAGGTTCACTTTTTTTAGGTGGAATAAACACGTCTAAACTAATAAAGTCACGTTCCCTTGATTTTCATAAATGAAATTTGTAAGCAAGTATAATTTAAACGTAAGCATTATATAAAAACAAAAAAATTAACATACTTTATTGTAGATCGGCAAATAGGACACGTTTTATCCTCAATATCAATAACATTTTCCTTATTTTCCAAATCAATGGTACGCTTAATGCACTCTAATCCAGAAACATGATTATAAAATATAAAGAAAACATGATTATGAAATTATATAATCATACAATCACTATCATCAAAAGAGTATATATATTTAATTACCCAAACAAAAAACATGACCACATGCGGTTACGATTCCATTGTCAATGCTAAAAAATTTAAAAAGTTAGAAACAAAAATACTCAAAAGACAAAAACAACATATAGAGCAAAATAAAAACTAATACTAGGCATATGTAACTAAAAACCAGTCATAAACTTCTCTGACAAACTAACCAATACCAATACTTACATATCATAACAAATAGGACAATCACTAGGACCATTTTCCTTATAATTTTCAATCAATCGAGTAATTACTTTATCAGACAAGATTTTTTTGGCCCGTTCAAGTTGATTAGGTATATTTTTCTCTTGGGCATTGGCATTTGATTTTGGATTACGTAACAATCTCTGATCACCAGCCGATGTAATAACGTGTCCAATATCTTCTTGTGTCCTTAATTTTAATTTATAATCGATCGTGTTACTCAAAAGAAAGTTTTCTTCGGGATTCTAGTAATGAAACTTACAAAAATGGATGATTGCATGCCTGACGTAGACGTAACAGCATCACAAGAATATAGGCATAATTCTTCAAAACGGATCCTAGTTGATAATACGAATGAGATATTGACTCAATTTAATACCAATTTAATACCAATTTAATACCAATTTAATGCCAATTTAATGCTAATTTGATACCGATTTAACACTGATTTAATACTGATGTAGTGTTGATACAAAGCATAAATATAATTTACCTTCTTTTAGATAACGATTAAATTCTATCCTTGATCGTTTTTCAAGCTAACAAAATGATCATTTTTTAGGTAAGGAGTCAAGATTTTCGAAATATTCTGATCTTATAAAAGAATGCATACTGCATCATAAAATTCTCTTTCATCTCGTGAAAAATCTTGTTTAACGAAAGATATTGTTTTTGTGGGAAGTTGCAACAACGGTCTCCCATCCAATTTAGAATCCTTTGTCCTACGTAAAAGGATTCCACGAAGAATAGTTTGTGCCTTTTGTATAGCTCTTTGCGATGCAGAGCTAAGTTGTTCATGGAACGTTTGCCAATCCGAAAAATTTGCAATATCGAGGAAACGGAAATAAGGATAAAGATCATCTATATGATTCTAATTTTTATTTATTTATTTTTATTTTTATTTTAGAAAAAAAATCATTGGTAAGTTAGTTAATTAAATTACTGAGAAAACATTAAAAAATACATACTTGGATTGGAGTACCTGTAAATGACAAAAAATAAATTTTTCA